GTTTTAAACTCTTGGCCAGGGACAGATGTATAAGGGAAAAAACTAGTTATGGACACACTTACCCTTGCTTTTTTGTGTGGTGTTTTTGGGGTTTTGTTGTTGTGGGTTTTTTTTTTTTTTCTTTTTTTAGCATTTGCATATACTTGAATAAATGCTGCCGTGAAAGTTCTTTGTTTGTAATTTTGGTTTTGGGTGGTGGCAGTGAGTTTTTTGTTTGTTTGTGTCCTCTCCTGTGCCCATACTTACTCGTGTGTGCACCAGCGCTACCTCTTCTGGTGCTGCAAGTAGTGCCCCAGCTCTGTTGGGGAAGAACTTTGGGCTGAGGGATTGTTAAATGGAGCATATGAACATTGTCTTAGCTAAGTAGTGGTTTTAAATGTTGAGCTCAGATTATTCTCAACACAGTTACTGTATTACTCTTACATTTCAAAGGTTTACAGTTAACTGTATCAGCCATTTGTACGATCACTGTCTATCACCAGACCAAACTGCTTGAACTACATTTCAAGCACATTAAAAATGTGTTGCTTGCAAGTTGTGTCTCTTGGAAGTGGTTATTCAGTAACGCACTTTGGCTGTGTGCCCATCTGAAGTCTGTCATGTGTATGTGACTGCATAAGGTTAGACAAGTTGTGTGGTGAGAAGAGCTTACACAGATGACAGTGGAAAATTTCCTTTAGATTTAATATTCTGTGCATCATATTTGTGTCAGTTGACTAGACGATAACTAACACATGCTGCTGGAGGTTGACAGCTTAATTCTTGCAAACTTGAGTGCTTTCCTTATTGATTCATGCATTTTAGGATTGACTTTTTTAAACATTACTTTAAAAAAAACCCAGACATGCAGTGTTCATATTTTAGATATGAAAAGTGTACCATACTAATTGAAGACAAATGTTTGAGAAGGTAAATAAGTAAAGTGTAAACAATTCTGGATACTTGTTTGTCTGCAATGAAAGGGGATTAATTTCTTCTCCTAGGCTAAGAAAAGACGTCTGAAAATCAGAGGCGGTGGGAGGAATCCTACTGGGATCGTGCTAGAGCAAATAGTATCTGAAAGTCTTGTCTGGTCAGCAACAGTTAAAAAGAGGTTTCATTTTCACGCTGAGGAAAGTTGGAAGGCTGAGAAGACATGTTGTAGTATATGTAGGCACCTCTGGCTGAATAGGAAGGTTTTGCTGGATGGTTGTTTCTACAGTATGTTTGTGAGTGTCCACAGATTTGGTGTTAGGAAGAATTATAC